ATCACTTTAAACTCTACCTTTTGTTTTCATTGATAGATGCTCAATCATTGTTACTATATTTTGTGTTTGTTTTATTATTATTTTGTATACAAATATAGAGATAGAATAAAAGGATAAAAAAAATGACAAGTTGTACATCACTGAATAGTGGGATAAACCTTGTTTAGTTTGAGTCCTTAATACTCCTTTGTTTCTGTTTTTTCATTTGTAGCTTGTTCATTATTTACAAAAGGTTAACTTCACCACATCATTTGGTGATCAAGTTTCATTTGATGAGAATGGAGATGTGCTACCATCTATGATGTCATCAACTGGCTGTGGCTCCCCGATGGAAAAATTAAAGTTCAAAATGTGGGTGATGTTAAGAGGTCTGATTTCAAAGGTGAAGTTCTTAAAATTGATGAAGACAAAATCTTCTGGAACTTTATTACTAAAAAAGGTAATTTCTGATTATACAGATAACATTGACTGCAAAATATAAGCCAGATTGAGTAATATATATTTACAAATGTATTTTTTCCACACAGCCACCTCAGTCAGTATGTAGTGAGAGCTGTCCTCCAGGTACCCGCATGGCCAGAAAGAAAGGGGAACCTGAATGCTGTTTCGACTGTGTCCCTTGTTCTGAGGGGAAAATCAGCAATACAACTGGTGGGTTTTCATGCTTAATATATTTCTGTATTGTCTTTTAGAAAATTGTTCTTTTTACAAAACAATAAACCTCACTAACTTCCCCTTTTTTCAGACTCCATAGAGTGCACAAGTTGTCCAGAGGACTTCTGGTCCAGCCCAAAGCATGACATCTGTGTGCCTAAGAAGACCGAGTTTCTCTCTTTTCATGAGCCGTTGGGTATCTGCTTGACAACTGCCTCATTGCTGGGCACATTTCTCTGTTCTGTCGTCCTGGTAATCTTCATCCATCATCGCAGCACACCCATGGTACGAGCCAACAATGCAGAACTGAGTTTCCTCCTCCTAGTGTCACTTAAACTATGTTTCCTGTGTTCACTTCTGTTTATCGGCCACCCCAGATTTGGACGTGCAAGTTGAGACATGCAGCATTTGGATAATCTTTTGTGCTTTGTGTCTCATGTATTCTGGTGAAAACTATGGTGGTTCTTGCTGTGTTCAAAGCCTCTAAGCCAGGAGGTGGAGCTGTTCTCAAGTGGTTTGGTGCCATGCAACAGAGAGGGACAGTCCTGGTTCTTACTTCTATTCAGGCAGTAATTTGCACTGTCTGGATTGTCATCTCCTCACCATCTCCACATAAGAACACCAAATACTACAATGACAAGATAGTGTATGAATGTGTTGTTGGGTCCACCATTGGCTTTGTTGTCTTATTGGGTTACATTGGCTTTCTGGCAATCCTCAGCTTCCTGCTTGCATTTCTGGCAAGGAATCTTCCTGACAACTTCAATGAGGCCAAACTCATCACTTTCAGTATGCTTATTTTCTGTGCTGTGTGGGTGGCCTTTGTCCCTGCTTATGTCAACTCACCAGGCAAATATGCAGATGCAGTGGAAATATTTGCCATCCTAGCCTCCAGTTTTGGCCTGTTGGTGGCACTGTTTGGACCCAAATGTTACATAATCCTGCTGAGACCAGAGAGGAACACAAAAAAAGCAATAATCGGGAGAGGAACCACCAATTTGTCAAAGTAGCAACTGTTAAACTTTCATGTGGTCTTAACCAGTTTGTATGTTGCATTTGTTCAGTAGAAATCTCCCTGAAGTCAGTTTTGCTGCTTACAACTGTGTCCTTTGTCTAATCAGAAATAAAGCATATTTGTGTGTTATTCAGATCTATGACTTGTAAATATATGCATGAAAGAAAGATCATCACGAGTTCCTTGTAGAAAGCTTACATTTTTACATTTTTCACTCATGCACTCTTGAAAATTTCCTGAAAATTTCCAGACAGCCTGAAAACAAACAAGACTTAGTTACAGTAATAATGTTACTCACCCACTCTGCTTCTTGGTTCACTTTAATTGGATAGACTACACAACAAAACAGCACCCACCATACACCCCCAAGCCTACAAAGACCACCTCCAACAACACAAAGATGCCCTCTTCCACACCTGATCCATCTACTACTCTCAACTCATACAGTCTGGCTCCAGAAGACCCAAAGCATTATTCTCCACAATGAACAAACTCCTCAACCATCTGGACTGTTCCTATTCCTTCACAGCAACAAATACACCTCCTTCCTGTCATTCTTCCAAACAGCAAAATAGACCATCTACAACAACCTGGCCCCTCCTTTCAGCTTCCCCCCCTTAACCTCTAAGGCCCTGTCTCAGTTGTCCCCTGTCTCCCCTACAGAGCTTTCAGACCTCATGGTGGGATTGAAAACTTCCACCTGCCTTCTGGACCCTGTCCCCTTGTCAAGGCCTGCCTTCCCAGCCTATCCCCACTCATTATCTCAACAGTAAACTCATCCTTTTCCACTGGCACCGTCCCACTATCCCAAAAACTTGCTGTCACAGCCATTTTGAAAAAACCTGGACTTGATCCCGACATCCCAAACCACTACAAACCCATCTTCAACCTCCCATTTCTTTCAAAACTACTGGAAGATGCTGTCGCTTCTCAACTCAAAATTCAGCTCTCTGCCTATAACCTTTATGAATCATCCTCAAACCTCAACATCCTCATCCTACTTGACCAAAGCGCAACATTCAACACCATCAACCATTCCATAATTCTCTCCTGCTTTGAAACCACTTTTAACATCACCAGCACTGCTCTCTCCTGGCTCAAGTCATAGCTCTCTGACAGATATCAGTTCATCAGCATAAACCAATGCAAATCTCCCACTGCTCCTCTCTCCCAAGATCTTCCCCAAGGTTCAGTTCTTGGACCCCTGCTCTTCATCATGTACATGCTCCCCCTGGGTCACATAATCCACCGCCATGGACTTCAGTTTGACCGCTTTGCCAAATCCATAACTCCTGTCACTCACTCACTCAATCCTCACTGACTGCATCATAGAAATAAAATCCTGTCTTCAAACCAACTTTCTCAAACTCAACTGCGACCAAATCAGAAGTCATCATCATCTGCACCAAATGCATCACCAAATCCACCAACAACTTATCCCTTTCCAACGGTGGATCCACAGTGCTCCCTTCCCCCCACATCTGTAACCTCGGTGTCATCTTTGATCAAACCCTGTCCTTAGACCAACACATCAAACACATCACCAAAACAGCCTTTTTCCATCTCAGAAACATCTTATTTATAAAAGCGCTATAAATAAAAGTCTTAATTATTATTATTATTAATTTGTATTTAAAAAATGTGCAATGAAGAATTCATTTTGTAACTCATCTGTTTTGTTTTATCAAGGCTAAGAGTTAAACATACATTAGCATAATTCATTATTTGTGGCTGAGTTGACTGAGATGGGGGGGGTGTTTTAGTTGTTTGCCAGGTGGTTTTAGGCCCTCCTCAATTCTACCTGTTTGCCACAGCACACAATTTGTTATGTGTTTTAATGTCCTGCCCCCATATCCAACACCCAGATGACTGGTGTTATAAAGAATTGAACAATAAAGGATAGTGTGCATTGGGATTAAATGCCCTGCATATAAAGATAACTCTGTATGAAGATGGGAACCAGTTGTAAAAGGAGGAGGGCAGATATGGGAGCTTTTCTTAACACATATTATTTTATCTTGGTTTATTTGTCCCTCTTCTCCTTCCACTCTGTATCTAACTCTTTTTCTTTATCTTGTAAATTACAGAGAAAGTTTCAACTTAATGAATGCACAAGCCTGGAGATGTGGTTCTTGGTGGGCTATTTGAGGTGCACTATTCCTCTGTTTTCCCTGAGTGGACTTACACCTCAGAGCCACAATGGCCCATCTGCAAAGGGTAGGTTTCACAAACATAGCAGACGGAAAGCATCTGTGTTAATTGTTTTGTTTGATTATTGTATCAGTATAAGGACAGTGCTGTAAAACATGTTTAAAGTATAACATTGAAATTGTAATATGTTATCATCATAGTGCTTTTTGATAAATATCCAGCTAGTTTTTGCAATATTTACTTTGAATACTCTGGTTATTATTTATTATTTTCGTTTTTTAATCTTTATACTGTGTGTGTTAGGTTTAACACTCTAGGGTTCAGGCATGCAATGACCATGGCCTTTGCTATTGATGAGATCAACAGGAGCTCCGATCTGTTACCTAATGTGACTCTAGGATACAGTCTGTATGACAACTGTGTGCACTTATCATTGGATTCAGTGGTGGATTATCACTTGCCAGTGGCAGAGAAAGCACTATGTGTTTGAGGAGAACTGTTTAGGGACCCCTCCAGTCATGGGGATAGTTGGTGATTCTGCCTCTACATTTTCCATTGCCACTTCCAATGTGCTGGGTTTATACAAAATGCCTATTGTAAGTTTTCTGTCTTTTTTTTTTTTTAAGTATGTTTATTTAATGTCTAAAATCACTGCATTTTTTAAGTGAGGTATTCTTAATATATGATTATCTTAAAAGGGTGTCAAAAATTGTATGTTCCTTTATAGGTGAGTTATTTTTCCACTTGTTCCTGCCTTAGTCATCGGCAACGGTTCCCATCCTTCTTTAGAACAATCCCAAGTGATGCTTTCCAGGTGAATCCTTTTTACCGCAATGAGAATTGCAATATTTGTCAGTTTCATTCACAGTAAGCTTGAAGAAACTGACATGACAAAAACAAACCAAGACATTTTTCTGTATATTTTTTTCACATCTGATTTTAAGTGGGATAGGTAAAATTAATTATTTGTGTGTATCACAAAATTTCTGTTTATTGTGTATGTCATTTAAATGAGTTTACTGGTCTAATACAATATGTTGTATTAGGTGCGTGCAATGATACAGATTCTGCAACACTTCAGCTGGACTTGGGTCGGCCTGCTAGTCAGTGATGATGACTATGGTCTCCATGTTGCTCGATCCTTCCAATCTGATCTGACTCAATCCAGTGGAGGTTGTCTGGCCTACTTAGAAGTTTTGCCCTGGGACAGTGACCCAACTAAACTTAGTAGGATTGTTGATGTGATGAAGACATCCACAGCCCGTGTGGTTATGGTTTTTGCACAGGAGTTTCACATGATACATCTTATGGCAGAGGTTAGAATAAAAATACTTTACTATTTAAAATGCTAAGTGGTCGAAAAATAAAAGGATTAAAATTTAAATTTTGTGCAATTATGAGGACTAATCATGCAGTTGAAAGAATTATAAAAACTTGAACAATTAGAATAAATGTATCAGATAAGGAAAGTTACAAAAAACTATGGAAGCCAGTTGTGAATTTCACAACGTTGAGCACTTTTAGAAAGCAAAAAAACAAAATTACGCATGAAAAAGTAAGACATGGTATGACTAGTTTGATAAGTGACTATATCTGTGCTAATGTCTCTAAACTGTAAATAATGCTACACACAGGTGCTTAGGCAGAATGTGACAGGCCTACAGTGGATAGCAAGTGAAGCCTGGACAGCATCTACTGTGCTTCAAACACCCGAACTCATGCCGTACCTGAAGGGCACGCTCGGCATTGCCATCCGTCGAGGGGAAATACCAGGACTGAAGGAGTTTTTAATACAAATACATCCTGACAAAGTAAACAATGACAGCTCTGGAACAAGCATGGTGGGAGTTCACGAACAATTTGTTTTAAAATGAATAGTTATTGATTGACTTTTATTTGCGTTATATCTGTTAATACAAATTAATTTTATGATATACTGCATTTCAGGTGAGGCAGTTTTGGGAATCCACATTTCGGTGTAAATTTGCTTCACCGGGTTGGCTGAAAGCTGGGGAAACACTCTGCAATGGAGAAGAAGACATACAAAATGTTGAGAGCGATTTTTTAGATGTTTCAAACCTCAGGCCTGAGTACAATATTTACAAAGCTGTGTATTCTCTAGCGTATGCCCTTGATGATGTGATGAAGTGTGAGCCAGGGAGAGGGCCTTTCAGTGGGCACAGCTGTGCCAATTTTCAAACTTTGGAGCCATGGCAGGTGTGATATCACTTTAAACTCTACCTTTGTTTTCATTGATAGATGCTCAATCATTAGTTACTATATTTTGTGTTTTGTTTTAATTATTTATTTTGTATAGAAATATAGAGATAGAATAAAAGGATAAAAATAAATGACAAGTTGTACATCACTGAATAGTGGGATAAACCTTTGTTTAGTTTGAGTCCTTAATACTCCCTTTGTTTCTGTTTTTCATTTGTAGCTTGTTCATTATTTACAAAAGGTTAACTTCACCACATCATTTGGTGATCAAGTTTCATTTGATGAGAATGGAGATGTGCTACCAATCTATGATGTCATCAACTGGCTGTGGCTCCCTGATGGAAAAGTTAAAGTTCAAAATGTGGGTGATGTTAAGAGGTCTGATTTCAAAGGTGAAGTTCTTAAAATTGATGAAGACAAAATCTTCTGGAACTTTATTACTAAAAAGGTAATTTCTGATTATACAGATAACATTGACTGCAAATATAAGCCAGATTGAGTAATATATATTTACAAATGTATTTTTTCCACACAGCCACCTCAGTCAGTATGTAGTGAGAGCTGTCCTCCAGGTACCCGCATGGCCAGAAAGAAAGGGGAACCTGAATGCTGTTTCGACTGTGTCCCTTGTTCTGAGGGGAAAATCAGCAATACAACTGGTGGGTTTTCATGCTTAATATATTTCTGTATTGTCTTTTAGAAAATTGTTCTTTTTACAAAACAATAAACCTCACTAACTTCCCCTTTTTTCAGACTCCATAGAGTGCACCAGTTGTCCAGAGGACTTCTGGTCCAGCCCAAAGCATGACATCTGTGTGCCTAAGAAGACCGAGTTTCTCTCTTTTCATGAGCCGTTGGGTATCTGCTTGACAACTGCCTCATTGCTGGGCACATTTCTCTGTTCTGTCGTCCTGGTAATCTTCATCCATCATCGCAGCACACCCATGGTACGAGCCAACAATGCAGAACTGAGTTTCCTCCTCCTAGTGTCACTTAAACTATGTTTCCTGTGTTCACTTCTGTTTATCGGCCACCCAGATTATGGACGTGCAAGTTGAGACATGCAGCATTTGGTATAATCTTTGTGCTTTGTGTCTCATGTATTCTGGTGAAAACTATGGTGGTTCTTGCTGTGTTCAAAGCCTCTAAGCCAGGAGGTGGAGCTGTTCTCAAGTGGTTTGGTGCCATGCAACAGAGAGGGACAGTCCTGGTTCTTACTTCTATTCAGGCAGTAATTTGCACTCTGGATTGTCATCTCCTCACCATCTCCACATAAGAACACCAAATACTACAATGACAAGATAGTGTATGAATGTGTTGTTGGGTCCACCATTGGCTTTGTTGTCTTATTGGGTTACATTGGCTTTCTGGCAATCCTCAGCTTCCTGCTTGCATTTCTGGCAAGGAATCTTCCTGACAACTTCAATGAGGCCAAACTCATCACTTTCAGTATGCTTATTTTCTGTGCTGTGTGGGTGGCCTTTGTCCCTGCTTATGTCAACTCACCAGGCAAATATGCAGATGCAGTGGAAATATTTGCCATCCTAGCCTCCAGTTTTGGCCTGTTGGTGGCACTGTTTGGACCCAAATGTTACATAATCCTGCTGAGACCAGAGAGGAACACAAAAAAAGCAATAATCGGAGAGGAACCACCAATTTGTCAAAGTAGCAACTGTTAAACTTTCATGTGGTCTTAACCAGTTTGTATGTTGCATTTGTTCAGTAGAAATCTCCCTGAAGTCAGTTTTGCTGCTTACAACTGTGTCCTTTGTCTAATCAGAAATAAAGCATATTTGTGTGTTATTCAGATCTATGACTTGTAAATATATGCATGAAAGAAAGATCATCACGAGTTCCTTGTAGAAAGCTTACATTTTTACATTTTTCACTCATGCACTCTTTGAAAATTTCCAGACAGCCTGAAAACAAACAAGACTTAGTTACAGTAATAATGTTACTCACCCACTCTGCTTCTTGGTTCACTTTAATTGGATAGACTACACAACAAAACAGCACCCACCATACACCCCCAAGCCTACAAAGACCACCTCCAACAACACAAAGATGCCCTCTTCCACACCTGATCCATCTACTACTCTCAACTCATACAGTCTGGCTCCAGAAGACCCAAAGCATTATTCTCCACAATGAACAAACTCCTCAACCATCTGGACTGTTCCTATTCCTTCACAGCAACAAATACACCTCCTTCCTGTCATTCTTCCAAACAGCAAAATAGACCATCTACAACAACCTGGCCCCTCCTTTCAGCTTCCCCCCTTAACCTCTAAGGCCCTGTCTCAGTTGTCCCCTGTCTCCCCTACAGAGCTTTCAGACCTCATGGTGGGATTGAAAACTTCCACCTGCCTTCTGGACCCTGTCCCCTTGTCAAGGCCTGCCTTCCCAGCCTATCCCCACTCATTATCTCAACAGTAAACTCATCCTTTTCCACTGGCACCGTCCCACTATCCCAAAAACTTGCTGTCACAGCCATTTTGAAAAAACCTGGACTTGATCCCGACATCCCAAACACTACAAACCCATCTTCAACCTCCCATTTCTTTCAAAACTACTGGAAGATGCTGTCGCTTCTCAACTCAAAATTCAGCTCTCTGCCTATAACCTTTATGAATCATCCTCAAACCTCAACATCCTCATCCTACTTGACCAAAGCGCAACATTCAACACCATCAACCATTCCATAATTCTCTCCTGCTTTGAAACCACTTTTAACATCACCAGCACTGCTCTCTCCTGGCTCAAGTCATAGCTCTCTGACAGATATCAGTTCATCAGCATAAACCAATGCAAATCTCCCACTGCTCCTCTCTCCCAAGATCTTCCCCAAGGTTCAGTTCTTGGACCCCTGCTCTTCATCATGTACATGCTCCCCTGGGTCACATAATCCACCGCCATGGACTTCAGTTTGACCGCTTTGCCAAATCCATAACTCCTGTCACTCACTCACTCAATCCTCACTGACTGCATCATAGAAATAAAATCCTGTCTTCAAACCAACTTTCTCAAACTCAACTGCGACCAAATCAGAAGTCATCATCATCTGCACCAAATGCATCACCAAATCCACCAACAACTTATCCCTTTCCAACGGTGGATCCACAGTGCTCCCTTCCCCCCACATCTGTAACCTCGGTGTCATCTTTGATCAAACCCTGTCCTTAGACCAACACATCAAACACATCACCAAAACAGCCTTTTTCCATCTCAGAAACATCTTATTTATAAAAGCGCTATAAATAAAAGTCTTAATTATTATTATTATTAATTTGTATTAAAAAATGTGCAATGAAGAATTCATTTTGTAACTCATCTGTTTTGTTTTATCAAGGCTAAGAGTTAAACATACATTAGCATAATTCATTATTTGTGGCTGAGTTGACTGAGATGGGGGGGTGTTTTAGTTGTTTGCCAGGTGGTTTTAGGCCCTCCTCAATTCTACCTGTTTGCCACAGCACACAATTTGTTATGTGTTTTAATGTCCTGCCCCCATATCCAACACCCAGATGACTGGTGTTATAAAGAATTGATAAAGTGTGTGTGGGATTAAATGCCCTGCATATAAAGATAACTCTGTATGAAGAAGGGAACCAGTTGTAAAGGGAGGAGGGCAGATATGGGAGCTTTTCTTAACACATATTATTTTATCTTGGTTTATTTGTCCCTCTTCTCCTTCCACTCTGTATCTAACTCTTTTTCTTTATCTTGTAAATTACAGAGAAAGTTTCAACTTAATGAAATGCACAAGCCTGGAGATGTGGTTCTTGGTGGGCTATTTGAGGTGCACTATTCCTCTGTTTTCCCTGAGTGGACTTACACCTCAGAGCCACAATGGCCCATCTGCAAAGGGTAGGTTTCACTAACATAGCAGACGGAAAGCATCTGTGTTAATTGTGTTGTTTGATTATTGTATCAATATAAGGACAGTGCTGTAAAACATGTTTAAAGTATAACATTGAAATTGAAATATGTTATCATCATAGTGCTTTTTGATAAATATCCAGCTAGTTTTTGCAATATTTACTTTGAATACTCTGGTTACTATTATTCATTTATTTTCGTTTTTAATCTTTATACTGTGTGTGTTAGGTTTGACACTCTAGGGTTCAGGCATGCAATGACCATGGCCTTTGCTATTGATGAGATCAACAGGAGCTCCGATCTGTTACCTAATGTGACTCTAGGATACAGTCTGTATGACAACTGTGGTGCACTTATCATTGGATTCAGTGGTGGATTATCACTTGCCAGTGGCAGAGAAAAGCACTATGTGTTTGAGGAGAACTGTTTAGGGACCCCTCCAGTCATGGGGATAGTTGGTGATTCTGCCTCTACATTTTCCATTGCCACTTCCAATGTGCTGGGTTTATACAAAATGCCTATTGTAAGTTTCTCTGTCTTTTTTTTTTTGGTTTTTAAGTATGTTTATTTAATGTCTATCACTGCATTATTTTGAAGTGAGGTATTCTTAATATATGATTATCTTAAAAGGGTGTCAAAAATTGTATGTTCCTTTATAGGTGAGTTATTTTTCCACTTGTTCCTGCCTTAGTCATCGGCAACGGTTCCCATCCTTCTTTAGAACAATCCCAAGTGATGCTTTCCAGGTGAATCCTTTTTACCGCAATGAGAATTGCAATATTTGTCAGTTTCATTCACAGTAAGCTTGAAGAAACTGACATGACAAATAACACGAGACAATTTTTACTCAATCTTTTTTTCACATGTATGATTTTAGTGTGAAGGATATATATTCAGTTATATTAAATTGAAAATTTACTGTATGTGTATCACCAAAATTTCTGTTTATTGTGTATGTCATTTAAATGAGTTTACTGGTCTAATACAATATGTTGTATTAGGTGCGTGCAGTGATACAGATTCTGCAACACTTCAGCTGGACTTGGGTCGGCCTGCTAGTCAGTGATGGTGACTATGGACTCCATGTTGCTCGATCCTTCCAATCTGATCTGACTCAATCCAGTGGAGCTTGTCTGGCCTACTTAGAAGTTTTGCCCTGGGACAGTGACCCAGCTAAACTTAGTAGGATTGTTGATGTGATGAAGACATCCACAGCCCGTGTGGTTATGGTTTTTGCACAGGAGTTTCACATGATACATCTTATGGCAGAGGTTAGAATAAAAATACTTTATATACTATTTAAAATGCTAAGTGTTCGAAAAAATAAAAGGATTAAAAAATTTGTTTAACATTTTTGTGCAATTATGAGAGGACTAATTTCATGCAGTTGAAAGAATTATAAAAAAACTTGAACAATTAGAATAAATGAAATCAGGTTATATAGGAAAGTTACAAAAAACTATGGAAGCCAGTTGTGAATTTCACAACGTTGAGCACTTTTAGAAAGCAAAAAAACAAAACGTTACGCATGAAAAGTAAGATATGATATGACATGTTTGATAAGTGACTGCTCCTTTACATTTCAATAGACTCTTTTAATATCTGTGCTAATGTCTCTAAACTCTAAATAATGCTACACACAGGTGCTTAGGCAGAATGTGACAGGCCTACAGTGGATAGCAAGTGAAGCCTGGACAGCATCTACTGTGCTTCAGACACCCGAACTCATGCCGTACCTGAAGGGCACGCTCGGCATTGCCATCCGTCGAGGGGAAATACCAGGACTGAAGGAGTTTTTAATACAAATACATCCTGACAAAGTAAACAATGACAGCTCTGGAACAAGCATGGTGGGAGTTCACGAACAATTTGTTTTAAAATGAATAGTTACTGATTGACTTTTATTTGCGTTATATCTGTTAATACAATTAATTTTATGATATACTGCATTTCAGGTGAGGCAGTTTTGGGAATCCACATTTCGGTGTAAATTTGCTTCACCGGGTTGGCTGAAAGCTGGGGAAACACTCTGCAATGGAGAAGAAGACATACAAAATGTTGAGAGCGATTTTTTAGATGTTTCAAACCTCAGGCCTGAGTACAATATTTACAAAGCTGTGTATTCTCTAGCGTATGCCCTTGATGATGTGATGAAGTGTGAGCCAGGGAGAGGGCCTTTCAGTGGGCACAGCTGTGCCAATTTTCAAACTTTGGAGCCATGGCAGGTGTGATATCACTTTAAACTCTACCTTTGTTTTCATTGATAGATGCTCAATCATTTGTTACTATGTTTTGTGTTTTGTTTTATTTATTTATTTTGTATACAAATATAGAGATAGAATAAAAGGATAAAAATAAATGACAAGTTGTACATCACTGAATAGTGGGATAAACCTTGGTTTAGTTTGAGTCCTTAATACTCCCTTTGTTTCTGTTTTTCATTTGTAGCTTGTTCATTATTTACAAAAGGTTAACTTCACCACATCATTTGGTGATCAAGTTTCATTTGATGAGAATGGAGATGTGCTACCAATCTATGATGTCATCAACTGGCTGTGGCTCCCCGATGGAAAAATTAAAGTTCAAAATGTGGGTGATGTTAAGAGGTCTGATTTCAAAGGTGAAGTTCTTAAAATTGATGAAGACAAAATCTTCTGGAACTTTATTACTAAAAAGGTAATTTCTGATTATACAGATAACATTGACTGCAAATATAAGCCAGATTGAGTAATATATATTTACAAATGTATTTTTTCCACACAGCCACCTCAGTCAGTATGTAGTGAGAGCTGTCCTCCAGGTACCCGCATGGCCAGAAAGAAAGGGGAACCTGAATGCTGTTTCGACTGTGTCCCTTGTTCTGAGGGGAAAATCAGCAATACAACTGGTGGGTTTTCATGCTTAATATATTTCTGTATTGTCTTTTAGAAAATTGTTCTTTTTACAAAACAATAAGCCTCACTAACTTCCCCTTTTTTCAGACTCCATAGAGTGCACAAGTTGTCCAGAGGACTTCTGGTCCAGCCCAAAGCATGACATCTGTGTGCCTAAGAAGACCGAGTTTCTCTCTTTTCATGAGCCGTTGGGTATCTGCTTGACAACTGCCTCATTGCTGGGCACATTTCTCTGTTCTGTCGTCCTGGTAATCTTCATCCATCATCGCAGCACACCCATGGTACGAGCCAACAATGCAGAACTGAGTTTCCTCCTCCTAGTGTCACTTAAACTATGTTTCCTGTGTTCACTTCTGTTTATCGGCCACCCCAGATTATGGACGTGCAAGTTGAGACATGCAGCATTTGGTATAATCTTTGTGCTTTGTGTCTCATGTATTCTGGTGAAAACTATGGTGGTTCTTGCTGTGTTCAAAGCCTCTAAGCCAGGAGGTGGAGCTGTTCTCAAGTGGTTTGGTGCCATGCAACAGAGAGGGACAGTCCTGGTTCTTACTTCTATTCAGGCAGTAATTTGCACCATCTGGATTGTCATCTCCTCACCATCTCCACATAAGAACACCAAATACTACAATGACAAGATAGTGTATGAATGTGTTGTTGGGTCCACCATTGGCTTTGTTGTCTTATTGGGTTACATTGGCTTTCTGGCAATCCT